AAATAATATAAAGTTATAAAGAGTTTATAAATTAACATTATTTTGTACGATATAAACACACGCGTTTATTATTATTACAATTAATTATATTTTATTTCTTTTTTTTTTTTTATGATATTTTATATACAAATTGATTATAAATTTCTAAGGAAAATGATTCGTCACACTGTGTAACTTTATCGTAAACGTAAATATCAATGTTCGGAATTAATTATAACGAGTTCGTTTAAATAGGCCAATCTTCTCTTTAGTATAGGAAACGTTATGGTTTATGCCAGGTAGAATATAAAAAAGAAAAAAAAAAGAAATAAGGAAAGAAGGAAGAGAGAAGATTGCAGGTGTTCAATTTGATCTTTTGTACGTGATACCTAACAAAGAACTTCTTTTACTTTCCATGTACGATTATTTATTCTTCAACTAACTGACCACGTTTCCGTTTCTCTTCATCTTCTCCTTCTTATTATTCTTCTTTTTTTTTCTTTTTAAACAAAATATTACACGAGAAGCTTTCGAAAACTGGCCACGAACACGTTGCTGCTTTGACATAGTTTCTTCTTTGAATATTCTCCCTAACTATTATTTAACCCCCACGTTTCCCCCTGCCCCTCCCCCTCCCCCTTCTTATTCATTTTTTTTCTTTTTTTACTTGCTTTTCATTCATTTCTTTTTTTTTAATTTTTAATTTTCTATCACGTGTGTGTACCTACTCACCTATTTCTTTTCAATAAGACTGTACCTTATTTTAGATTCCTTATTTCTTATCACTGAAATATTGAGAGAGATAATTAAACTGTAAAATAGAAGGTGATTTTTATTTGGTTAATTAATTGTAGGTCTTGGTACATTTATTTTGATTTAATAATTACAATGATTTACTCATAGACTAAAATATATGTAGATAAGTTGATGGAAATAGGAAAACTTTTGAGAATATATAATGTATTAAATTCTTTTTTTATAATTGGGGGGAAAAGTGAAAATTTCGTAAAAAGTTAGCAAGATTTTCAAGAAAAAAATTACCAAAGACTAAATAGTATTTTTGAAAGAGAAATATATTTGTTTAAATTGAATATTTTGAGATTTCAAAGATTTTTTTCTAAGTAGGTATGAAAGTAAAGAAAAGTTGGTTTCAAAAGAAAAAGAATTTTGGTCAACCTTGGAGATTGAAAAAAAAAAGGAAAAGAGAAACTTTGTCGAGATATCTATTTTTTTATTTTTCGTTAAATTCAGAGACAAAATTT